AGGGTTAACCTCAGCATCAGGCTCCGCGCTCAGCACAGAGTCTGCTTAAGATTCTTTCCCTCTCTCCCTCTGCCCCTCCCCCTCCCCTGCTTGTGCTCACTCACTAAATATATATATACATACATACATACATACATAAAATCTTTTAAAAAATAATGAGGTGAAATTATATATGCTGAATCATAAAGATCTCCACAATACATTGCAAAACAGGAAAGAAGTACATACAATGCAGTGTATAAGTATTCACTCAGGCAAATTTATAAGAGTATTTATATGGAAAGAGAAGGTATTTATATGTATTTATATGAAAGGAGAGAGAATATGGAGTAGACACAGTATTGTGTGATGAAGACAGAGATTCATTTTTTATTATATCCTTCTGTACCATTTGAATAATTTTTAATATATGTTTGGTTTTCATAGTGAGAATAGAAAAATGCTAAAAACAAAATACAATAAGATGCAAAAGAGAAACTTTCAGATCTTTTTAATGCGCCTGCATTATTTATAGGATTAAGTCCAGAAGCTCCGCTCACCATGGTAAAAACACTTAACAGCCTAACCCAGTTGACCTTGCCTGTCTCATCTCCCAGCATTTCTTTCCTTTGTCTCTCTTCTAGCCATAACTAACTATTGTTCTTGAGCACATCATGACCTCAGTGTCTTTATTCATTTACTACTTTTGTATGAAATCTCTGGTTCTATCCTAGGAAATGTTACTCATCCATTAAAGCCCAGTTCAAGTGACTGTTCAGACCCCAGATGAGCTTGTCCATCCTCCTTGCTCTCACAGCACTTTCATCTGAGGGAGGCTGGATTTGTTGCCATCTCATCTGCTCTGTGAGGGTCAGGAGGACTAGATGAAACTGATCCTCTACAGAGCACCCCGATCAGGTCTCCAGTCGCTGTGTACATTGGAACCATTCCTCTGAGACTCCCGTGAGTCAGGTCTGTGTTCAAGGACAGTTTGGGCTTCACATTTGCTTGGGCAGGTCATCATACAGAAGGAAGGGGCAGGAAGGCTCCGAATACATGTTTGCTGATATCACACACATGTATGTGTTTTATATAAATTACCTTGTTTGGTCTTCACCCTTCAAAGTAGGTCTTATTAGCCTTGTTTTGTAAATGAAGAAATCTGAGGCTCAAAGAGGTTGGGTAAATCACCCAAAGTAAATGGTGGAGTTTGGTTTCAAATTTGGGACTTTCTGGCTCCAAAGTCTGTGCCCGTTCCATTCTGGAATCTGTGTTCTGGGGACGGAGGGGGATTCAGGATGAAGTAACAGTGTTCTCATAGAGAGGCTATATCCCAAAGTCTCTCTTCCTTTGTCATACGAAGGTGAGCATGGACTGGGCTGAGGGCAGGGGTGTGGAGGGTAACAGAAGGAGTAGCGTTACAGCAGATGGAGAAAGTTCAGCATGGCATTTATTTGCTAATTCTTTCTCTCTGGAAGTCCCAGATTTGTGGATGTTCTCCTGACCCAGGTCCTGTCCTTCCAAAAGGCCAGCTGGAGTGATTCTGTTTTCTGGAATAACACAGGGAGGATGATGATTAATACTTGGCCAACTTCAGAGTAGGAAATGTGAAACACGTGCCTGTTTGGAGTTCCTTCACATGTTTCTAATCAACCAACCAGATTTCACTTGAATCTTTTATGGCTTCTCTGAAATTTGTAGTGAAATTGCAAGCCAAGTGTAGCCCGGGACCTATTTGTGGTTGCTATAATATCCCCTTTCCTGACTCCTTCCACCACTTAGTGAAAATTATTATTGCAGTAAAATCTCTTAGTCATACTTTCCAGGGGGTTGAAATTTCTTAGCTTGTCATATGGATAAATGTTATATTATATTAACATAGAGCAGTACGGTTAGATGGGTTTGTGCTTGGAATTTGACAAAACACACAGTTGAAGTGAGATATTGAGAATTCTGTACGTAGGGTGTATTGCACCTTCAATTCAATTCAAGAAACATTTTGAGTACCTACCATGTATAAGGTATGCGGGAAACTGGGTATACAGAGATGGTTTCTACCTTGATTTCGTATGAAAGTCCATCACTTAAACCGAGCACATTTTAAGTGAACTCACTATCTTCACAGTCCCGAGTTCAGATCATGGCACCAGCAGCAACCCAGTTGCTGAAGCTCAAAACACTGGAATCATCTGTGATTCTTCTCCCTCATTTACAACCATAATTAATCAAATCCAAGAGATATTTTTTCTCCTAAAGATTTCTTGATTTTGCATCCTCATCTCCATTGCCATGGTCCCTTCTCTGGTTCAGGACTTCATCTCTTGCTCTGACTGTCCTAGTAGTTTTCTCTCTCAGCTCCCTGCCCCCAGGCTTTCATCTTCCTTAATCCCTGCTCGAGCAGTTACTCAAAACACAAATATAATTTGTCACTCTCCTGTGTAAAACACTTCATGAACTCACTATCACCCACAGGATGAATGCCAATATTTTTCAGGCCTTCCAAGGCCTTCCACTACATTGCCTTGGGTGCCAAGTGAGGGGAGGGTAGGCAGACTCATAAGTGAAGATACCATATAAAGACCATCTTTTCATTTGGAAACATCCAAAGCTCTGTAAAATGGGGAAACTGTGGTTTTGCATGAACTAAGATGAGTTCCCAATTCCTAGAGATCTGCCCTTTCAAGTGTTCTGTGAAGACAGAAAAAAAAATGGATTTAAGACAAAGTAATAAATTTTGGAACTCTTTTAGTCAAAATGTGATATTTATTGGAAACATGAGTTCAAGGTTTTTTTGTAACATATTTATGCATCCATCCATTTATTCATTCGCTTCTTTGATCAACAGATAACTATTGAATACCTAGACAAGGAGGTTACAGAATACTATGATACAGTCTCTGCTCGCAAGGAAGGGCAGATAAATAGGCAATTATAAGACTGTAGAATGAGTGCTCTGTTATGAAAGACACAGGATGTTTTGAGAACACATATTAGGAGCACTTAACACAGTCCAAGGAGGGTCAGGGAAGGTGATGTTGAAGTGGAGAGCTGAAAGAAAACGTAACTTATCTAGATGAAAAGAAGAATGAAGAGAAGTTCAAGTGGTGGAAAACCTGGGCAAAGGGTCAGAAGCAAGACAGAGGGAAATTTTCTGATGCTAGTATGGTGGGATTATAGTGCCTGAGGTTAGGATAGAAGCAGATGTGGGGATGATTAGATATGAGTCTATAGCAGGAAGTAATAGGCCCTCCAGAGGACACCTCCAGTCTTTCCTGGGTCTTAGGCAGAAGTGGGACAGTGAGAGGGCTCACGGCTTAGCATGTGGAACACGGACTGGGCTCCAGCTCACTCAGCTCCTTAGCTACGGGCAGCACCTTTGTCTGTAGGCAGCACTTTGACCAGATTATTGCTAAATTATATTAAGGAGTTGACCCTTTATCTTCAGGACAATGGGAAACCCTGCAGGGAATTCAGCAGGGGAATTAGGTGGTCAGGTTAGAATTTTCAGACGATCTCCCTGGCTGTAGCATGGAAGGTAAGTTAGAAGACTTCAAATTGGGAGTGAAGGAGACTTTCTCAGTGGTCCAGCTGAGAGATGACGGTGGCCTAACCTAAAGTAGTGGCATTCACTGGAATTAGTGCCATCATGAGTCATTAAGTGAAACTCAGCAGAAGAATTCAAGGAGCTAGGCGGGAATTATAGTCTTGCTCTTTCTTACCAAAAGTCTGCCTTGCTGAGAGACACAGAATGCTGGGCTTGCTGGACCATGACTTCAACTCAGTGAAGAAATAGGTTCTTAAACAAAACAAAACAAAACAAAACAAAACAAAAACACAACTCTGTTGAGTTTGTATCAGTTTATAACTGATATAAAAAACCTGCCCATATCTAATGGGTATGATTTGGTGAGTTTGGACATATGCATACACCAGTCAATGTAATGAACCTATCCATCACCTCCAAAAGGATTCTTAACAATAGAAATTCAACAAAGGAGTAGGAAGAGAAACAGAACAAGAATCTGTTTGTGTCCCAAGCTGGCCCCAAATCAGTGCCCTCTGCATCTTTTAATAGTATAATAACCTCACCAGAGCCTGACAGGGACATTTATGTTTGTGACAACTTGTTCTATATTTCCTCCCACTGGAAACATTTTCACGAGGCAATTAAAGAATCTCATTCATCACCTCAAAATGCAACTTGGGCTTTTACAGTTGTGCAATCACATCAAGTTAAATTTTTACAGGCCCTTGGTTGGCCTGGCGTGGGTGAGATGTGAACTAGCAGGGCGGGGGTGTGAGAAGCACAGAGAGTCAGACCTTAGTATCATTAGCTATATTGCAGATTTGGGTTGGTCTGTGTTAAAATCCTTAGTCACCAACTCAGGGATGCTTCAAGTTCAAAAAACCATTAGTGAACAAAATAATCATTCATATTTTCTCTAGTTTTCTAAACACATTAAAAATCTGTTATTTTAACCAAAGAAGGAAGGGGGGAATTATCATAAAAGAACAAGGTATCAGGAGAGTTGAATTATTTTTTTTTTTAATTTTATTTATTTATTTATTTATTTATTTATTTATTTATTTATTTATTTATATTATTATTATGTTGATCCCCATACATTACATCATTAGATTTAGATGGAGTGTTCCATGATTCATTGTTTGTGCATAACACCCAGTGCTCCATGCAGAACGTGCCCTCCTCAATACCCACCACAAGGCTAACCCATCCTCCCACCCCCTCCCCTCTAGGACCCTCAGTTTGTTTTTCAGAGTCCATCGTCTCTCATGGTTCATCTCCCCCTCCGGTTTCCCCCCCTTCATTCTTCCCCTCCTGCTATCTTCTTCTTTTTTTTTTTTTAACATATAATATATTATTTGTTTCAGAGGTACAGATCTGTGATTCAACAGTCTTGCACAATTCACAGCGCTTACCATAGCACATACCCTCCCCAGTGTCTATCACCCAGCCACCCCAACCCTCCCACCCCACCCCCCACTCCAGCAACCCTCAGTTTGTTTCCTGAGATTAAGAATTCCTCATATCAGTGAGGTCATATGATACATGTCTTTAGGAGAGTTGAATTCTATCGCCAACATTTTCCCTACTCAGGCACCGGGACACTTGATAAGACACGACCTTTCCCGGGCCTCATTGCGTTGTCTCAAAATTCCTTTCAGGGTGAAAATCCCATGCTTCTATGAATGTTGGCATTTTGAAGTATCAGCACCCAGTAGGATCTCAATATGGTATCTTTAAAATGAGAGGAATGTCCGTTGTGTGCTTGGCCCAGGGCTATTCATGGGGCACACAAAGATAAATGAAAAATGTCCTTGTGTTTTAGTTGTTCACAGTCATCTACCCAGGCGATAACTGGAGCTGGAGAGCTACCCCACAGGTATGTACAGGGGACTGTGAGATCGCGGAGGGGAGGAAGGCAAGAAAGAGAGACAGCTGAGCAGAATCCGAACAGAGGCTGGCCAGATGTGCAGGAAGGACCATTCAAAGCAGTGTAATCAGACGAGGGTCTCCCCAAACCCTTGAGCTTCCATGAAAGGACAGCTACCCTTGGAGCTGGAAGCATAAGTGTCTGACCAGCTGGTAGTAAATTCGGTACAGCCTGTAGCTACCTGCTACCAACGATTGTGTCTGGTCACGAGATTGGCCACCAAGGGTCAGCCACCAAGTGCTGATTTGAGATGTACTGAAGAGACACCCCAGGAGGGCTTAGCAGAGGATGCCACAGGCAGGTCCGTATGTAAGAACTGTAGAAGGAAAAGAAAGAAATGGCTGCAGAGTTTACTCCCTCAGGTCCATGGAGCCTATAACCCCTGCTTGCTAGCGGAACCGATGTACATTTGGTGGGAAGAGCGAGGCTATTTCTGTCAGCTTCTTATGCCAGGAATGGACCAAACCCGCTACCTCCCCTACTTCCCATTAATAATTCTTCTTCAGCTTCAGCTAAATCTTGCCATTGTCCCCCACTCTCATCAAACAGAATGCAGATGACCATGTGGCAGTGGGTATGTGCATGCGTGTGTGAAATTTTCCTAGAATAGTGGCTTGCATTATGTTTTAAAGCACCAGAACCCTCTTTCCACATTAAATTTTACTTAGAAGAACAATACAGAAACAGCTGTGGCCAAACCTCAAGAGCTACAGCAGCATAAATATTTATCAGGCACTGAGAATGTCTCAGGGGCAGTGTGATGCCCTTGATATGTATCCCCTCATATCCTCTTAGAACAGTGCTATGATGTGGTGCTTATAAGACAGGAATTATTTTTATCCTCTTTTTTAGAGATGAGGAGGCAGGGAATGAAGAGTTATAGCTAATGCATGGCAAAGCTCAAGTCTGACCTAGGCCATTTGCCCTCAGTATGGAGTCCTTACGGCACAGAAGGTCCTGGCCCCAACGGGGCAGCTGAGCCATCCCGGGATCTGTCCCTTTTCCCTTTCTTCTGAGGTAGCAGGTGTAGCTAAGCTTCTATATCTCCTTTCTCCCAGCTCAGGAATTAGGATAATTTATCAGATTGCTGTGTAATAAGGTCTAAGAAATACTGCCTTGGTTTGTCCTCTAAGATCTCTTCCAGAGTCTGTATTCTGTCATATCAACTCAATGTGAAAGGGATGCTTATGGCCAAAAAGGTCTTCAAAAGTGGAAGTAGGTGCCAATCACACACACACACACACACACACACACACACACAGAAACCAGACAGTTATTACATGATTCCATTTATACGAAGTGTCCAGAGTAGGCAAATCTGTAGAGACAAAAAGTAGGTTAGTGGTTACCTAGGGTTGGGAAGCTGCGGAGACAACAGGGGTAGGGGTGGTGACTGTTAATGGATATGAGGTTTCATCCTGGAACAATAAAAATACCCTAGAAATATCAATTCTAGAATAATTCTGTGAATATCTGGAAAACCACTGAGTTGTACAATTTAAATTGAGGAATTGTATGTTATGTGATTTATAACTCAATACAACTCTTAAAAAAAACAAAAATTAAAAAATAAGCATAGGGCTATCTCTTTAAAAATTCATCCATGTGTTGATCTGTTAATCTGTGAATTCATTCTATAGTATCCGTGGAGTGCCATCTCTGGCTGGGGAGTCTGCTACACATGAGGAGACAGGGAGCCCCCCTCCCCCACCCCTGGTCAAGAAGAGTCCTGACAACAGCAGGCGGTAGGAAGCCTTCTCTCACAAACATATATGCAAGGAGAGAGGAGGCTCAGAGCTCGGTGGGCACACTGGGATGACCTGGGAGAGGGGGTGGTCTTGAGCCCAAGCCTAGACCTTACGAGGGAGACCAGTGGCAGGTAGCCAAGATGGCATATGGGTCTTCTAGGTAGAAATAGCAGCATGCGAAAGCTTGGAGAAATGAGAGTACAGGTGAGTGTCTGGTGGTTTGCCTGCCTGGATAACAGCCCATCGTGTGGAAAGGCCAGGAAGAAGGGGATTGCAAGATAAGCGGGAGCTAAGTGACTCCATTCCTTCAATCATTCATTCATCCATTCATTTCTTTATTGAGCATCACCTGTGTGTAAGGCAGAGGTTAGGTCAGTGGTGTCAAGGTTGGCTTTCAGAATTGCCTGGAAAGCTTACAAAAATTGGTAACTGGGTCTCACCCTAGGAGTAACTAGTCTTAGGGTGCTTTGGGCATCAGAATTTTTCAAAGCTGCTCAGGGAGTTCTATTGGCAGTCAGCATTGGAAACCAGTAGGCTGTATAATGGAGCTGGAAAAAAAAAAAAAAAAAAAAAAGATTAGAACAACGATGGTCCTGGCACTTGGGAGTTGACACTCAACAAATGTTTTCTGAGAACTTACTAGGTACACCCTGGACGCTGGGAATGTAGCAGTGAATAAAAGAGTCCCAGACCTCATAGAGGTTCAGACTAGTGGACGGAACAGAAAATAGGAAGCAAGCAAACAGAGGAGTCTCTCATTACAATGTGAAATAAGTGATGTGAAGTAAATAAAGATTAACAGCCAACAGTGAGGGAGAGGGTGGTTCCTTAGATTGGCCAGTCAAGGATGGTCTCTTTGAGGTGACTTTAAGCTGGGTTCTCAAAGAAAAAACTGGCCTTAGAAGATTCATGAGACGTATGTTCCAGGCAGTGGGCATGTGTGTATGTGTGTGTGTATGTTCATTGTTGTTGTCATTGTAAGGAAGGCACATATTCAAACCACATTAGGAAAAAAGGGGTTCATTGTATGGAGAGACTTGAATGTGTTTATAGGTTATGGTGTTTTATTTATCCTTTTATGCCCAGAATCAAAGGTGCTGACTGCATGTTATAGTTGTTTTATAAATGTTTACCAAATAAATGAACTAATGAAATCAGTAGAGAAGAAACTGAAAGTTAGGGTGATGGTTGATCAAAGAATGTTCCAGAGGACATGGGAAGAGGGGGATTCCAAAGCATACAGAAGGAGGGGCATCTCTGAGGTGGGAGGGAAGGAGCTGGGGCAGGAAATTTCTAGTGCAGAAACAGGAAGTAGCATTCCCTCTTGATATCTCCAGTGTTCTGCTGGGGGAGAGGAGGTTTGCTCAAAGGGAGCCAGGTGGACGTGAGCTCAGGGTTCTGAGGAGGTGGGAAGAGTGACTTTGTGTAACTGGAGAGGTGGGATGGTCAGGGACATTTGGAAAGATCACAAGTGTGAGTGTGGGCACCGAGCCGAGGCTGCAGACCCCATGTAAATGGTGGTACTGGTGGACATGGCCGCGTGGTGACATGTAGCACAAGCCAATAACTATGTCTTGGGGGGTTGTACATAGATGGCTATGGCAGTGGTTTAGGACAAGGCAATGAACAAACTCTGAATTTGGAAGGAGAGAAAGACTGAAACTGATATTAAGTCTAGACTGGGTCATTAAGGAAGTCATGTCGAAGAGCTGAGAGATAACAAGGGGAGAGAACAAAGGACAAACCATCATGAGTCAAAGGCCAAAAGTGTGGTGGAGAGAAGGAAATGAGAGAACTGGAAGGGACGGAGCTCCTTGTTTTCTCCTTGTTTCCTCCTTGTTTCTCCGTGGTAGGCACTGCGTACATCCAGGTACTATGAAATAGAACAAGAGTTACCTTTATTGAGTGCTACTGTGTCTCAGAAGAAGAGCGAAGAGTTTTACCTACCTAATTTCATTTCATTCTCATAGCAGATACCATAACCCCCATTTTACTGATGCGAAAACTGAGGCACAGTGAGGTTAAATAGCTTGCTCCTGTTCTTGTAGCGAGGAAGAAGAAACCGCATGTGTCTGATGAAGCTAATACCCATAACTTCCAAGCTAGGTTGATAGATATTTTTTTTCTTATTGTAGAACAACATATGACTCCTGCATCCTTTTCATGTGAGCTGATAACCCAGGCCGGCTGTATTAACCCACTCGGCACTGCAGGATGATGTCCAGATTCCCTAGAGTGATACAGGAGCCTGGTCAGAGTCCAAACCCACACCCTCCTCTCTAGGCTCGGCCTCCCACACCCAGTGCCTCTGCCTGGAGGAATTATTTTCAGTTGCCCAAGGCACCGGGACAGCTTTTGTAGTGGTGGTGTCTGGATCAAGTGATGTGCTTCTCCCTCTTCTCCTCCTGGCTGACTTCTTACAGTCCTTCCAAAATGAGTGTGAGTATCACCCCCTTTCCCCTCCCTAAGCTGAAAAAAAATGAGAGCGATACCACCTGACACACCAGATGTCTCTAGGGCATCTCTATAGACCAGCATAGCTCTCTCTGCACAATGAGATTGTGGGATACTGACTCCTTGTTCAGGGCTCTGCTCACAATCCCACACCCCCGTCCCCTTTCATCATCTGGAAGGACCCAGAAAAGAGAGGGGAACAGGCTCTGATCATCACCAGTGATGGACTCTTGTAGCAGCCTAAGGAACCCCTGGTTTGTACCCATACCTCAGAGTGGCCAGGCTGGTTCCCATAGCCTTTTAGCAGCTGCTAAAGGAAAAAAAGTCAGACAGTTAAAAAAAAATGTACTCAATAAATTTGAGACATCTGTGGATAGCATGATATGGATATCATATCACAACTATTATGTTAAAGCAGTTTCTAACACTTTCATAATTCAGAAATTAAAATAGTTGCAGCCATTACCACTTTATAGTACATGTTATAATTTCATGTTACAGTGTGTGTGTTTGTGTTGTAATTGACTTTGAGCTGTGGGCCACCCAGCACAGAGGTGGGTGCTTTGTGGAAGTGGCCAGGCTGCTAGTTTAGAGGCTGGAGATTTCACTTTCTGGTTGGGTGATTGAGCAAATACCCTATTTCTCTGGAGCTTCTGTTTCTTTCTGTGTAAAATGGTAGTAACAGGCGAGCCTTCAGGCATTGTTTGAGAGGCCAAATGACAGCACGACTGTGAAAAGCGCTTTGTAAACCGTAGCATGCTCTAAAGGAGGGGGGAAAATGGTGCTATTATTAAGGAGAATGTTAGAGTATCCAGTATCCAGTATACGGCTGGCCAGGTTTCACCTGGAGAGGCTCATTCAGGGAAGTCATCAGCAGGATGGCAGGAAACTCCTGCAGCAAAATCCTTTTGGAAGCAGGGGAAGAATCCTACGGAATGAAGGAGAATCGCAAATCAAACCTGTGGAGACTCTCCTGGAAAGATTACGGGATGAAAAATTAACTTGGCACTGTTGGGGGTGGGAATGTGGACGGCTGCCCTGGATGCCCCCGTCTTCAGCCTCCGGACACTTTCCTTCCCCAAAGCCATTTTAGTCAAAGGTCATGTGTGAGTCTTGTCAAAGGCCAGCTTCCAATGGAATCATTGTCCCCCGGGACAGCGGCCCCCTGACTACATCTGCATTGGAGAAATCCCAAAAGCAAACGGCCCAGTGCAAACAAGAGCAGTCCGGGGCCGCCGTCCCGGGGCAGAGCTCACAGGTCCGCCGGCCCGCAGCAGAGGCCGCGTCGGCAGCGCGGGGGCCCGGACCAGGCGCCCAGACGCCGGCAGCATGACCCGCCGCGCCGATCGGGTACGGTAGGCTCTCTCTCTCTCTCCCCGTCCTCCATTGCTGGGGCTCCCGAGTCCGAGCTGCCGTTTCGTCTGCCCGGGAAACCTTGCAAAGGGCCTCCAGATTTGCCGGAAAACCGTCTCTGTTGGGCTGCGTTCCCGCGCACTCAGCTGGAGCAATTTCCAGGCGCGCAAGATGCAGAGCTTAACTCGTTTCGAGTTTTCGTTGCCAGGGAATGTTTGGGTTTGTAAATACTGTGTCTCTCGTTTCTGGAAAACGAGCCGGTGGAACTTGCGGAGAGGGGTCGTGGACGAGTCTCCGTTCACCCACGGGCTCGAACCCGTGCCCAGGGGGAGCTCCCCGCGGCTCGGCCCGGCTGCGGGTGCTGCGAGCCGTCTCCTCCCGGGGCCGCGGGCGGCTCCGCGTTTTGTTTATTACCTGTTGCACAAGGGCTTTGCAGGAAGGATGGGGGATTGTTAAAGCCATCTGTTTCAGAAATGTTCTCTGGGATCCTACGCTTGCGTCCAAAGGAAAGAGAATCGTCTCGCAGACGGAGGGAGCCCCTTGCGCGCGGGCCGGGCCCCCTCCCGGGCTCCACAAAGGAAAGATTTGATTGGCGTGCACACAGCCGGGCAAGCCAGTCTCTCTCGGCCCTTTGTACTTAACTATTTGAACGAGGCTTTCAAATGGATCTGGCTAATTTGGGGTAAGAGTTGAGGCAGCCTGGGATCTGCCCTGAGTAAGGGTGCTTTTGATCTGGACTTGGACATCTCCCAGGGCAAACAGAGCAGGTGGGGAGGATCGGAAGGGGCAGTGGGCACAGCCGGTGTGCAGGCGCGAGCGGTGGGTCAAAGGGTTTCCATTGCTGCCCTGCCACACACTCTGGTTTCATTTTAACAGGTTAAGCCCAGAGCCATTTCTCCCTGATAAAGGGAATGAAAACAAAAGCCTTTCTAGCGCTCAGCAGGACGGAGAGGGAAGCGGTGGTGGTATTTGTTGACGTATTTATCTCACGCTCAGTTCCACGGAGGCTAGGAGGTTCTCCACACTTCAGTTCCTTAGATGTTAATGGAGCTTCTGCTCTTCCCCATCTCCATTTTGTCCTCCACCTTCCCCACCAAACTTCTTGAGAGTGGGTGACACGGGCTGTCTCCACTCCCTCACCACCTGGTGACTGCTTTGCACCCCTTCAGCTGGCATCTACCCTGGCTTCTGAAGGCAAAGCTTGCTCAGGGCCACCAAAGACCTCTCTGAACCCTGGAGCAAGTTCAGTTTTCTCCGGGCTTCTCTGTGTCATTTTGAACCATTGGTCGTCCCCCTCTCTATCTCCCGACTTGGTCCTGGATTCCCTCTGACTTTCTCAGTGCTGATTTAAGGCCTTTAAAAGTCTTCCTTCAGCAGTGTTGGTGCATCCTGAGAATCCTTGATTCACTTCCCTTTCCATCCCCTGGGAACTCTCATCCGTTCCCAAGGCTGCAACCAGTTCATACAAATCTCCGGCTTATTCCGATCTTTCTCCTAAATACCAACCTTTTATATGGAACATCTCCACTTCGACGTCCCCGGGAGCACCTTAAAATCAACATGTTGGAAACTGAATTTATCTTCTCCCTCCTCCTCCTGGGCCTGCTCCTCCTCTTCCATTCGCCACGACTCAAATGGCCTGCCCGGGGTCCGAACCAGACCCAGCAGCATCATCCTAAGCGACTTCCTCTCTTTCATTCACACCTGATCGGTCACCGAGTACTGCACCAAGTCTCACTTCTACTAGCTTCACACAATTCACACGCATCCCTGCATCTCCATCTACTCCGCCACCATCTTAGTTGAAGTCAGTACCTCCCCACATTCTATTCGAGTCACAATTTCGCACTCGTAGGCCAGTCCTACCCATCCCACGCCCCCTGTCTTGTTACCCAACACACTATGTCCAATGATCTTTCTAAAATGTAAATATCATCATACAGATCTTTTTTGAAAAGTCTTCAGTAGATTCCTCTTTTTTTCTTGTTGAGTTAGTGCGCACAGGTTCTCCATGACTTGCCTTTTACCCTGCCCTGCAATCTCATCTCTTATCCTTTACTTCCTATCCACATTTTATGCACATTGCTTGCAAATTTAGGCATATTAAACTATTTACAAAACATGACTTTCCTCCTTGCCCTTCTCTTGGGTCTGTGTCTATATTTTTCCTTGAAGACTCAGCTGAGAGCTACTTTCTCTTGGAAACTACCCAGACCATCTGCTCCCCATCCTCCAGAATGGGCTAGGTGGCCATCCCATAGTCTTCCAGAGCTTACTTTATTCCTTCTGTCAGAGCATTTATCAGTCCTTCTTGCACAAACTATTTATTTGTCTCCTACTGGCCTGGGAACTCCTCAAGGGCAGGGATCAGCCCTTTTTGTCTTAGCATCCTTAGAACCTATAACCTGGACCCAACTGGGATGCTCAGTGAGTTTGTTCGAATTCTTGTGCAGTTCTTGTCAGTGACTATTATGTTCGGGCATTGAATAGGGTGAGAGAGATACAATCTATAAATACAGTATGGTAAAGGATGACGAGCGAAGGTCAACTGTGATTCTCAGGAAGAGGCATGGTCTTCACCTTTTTAACAAAGGAAGGGTTTAGACTTTCTGGGTATTTGAGATAATCCCCCAAGTGTCCCAGCTCACTCTCCAATCCACATTTCAACTCATGAGTTTCTCTGATTACTCCCTGCATCTATCCTCACCTTGTTCAAGATTGGGAAGAGCTGCAGGAAAAGCCTTTTGCAGGTTTGCTTTGGCTTTGTGAAGGCGAAGGACTCCTTTCCAGCTGGAACCCGGCATGGGAAGAGGGCCATAGGGAAGATAGGTGGGCTTCTAAGAGAGCCTTTTGATAAGCTGCTACCAAAGACAAGCTGGTATCTTCTGATACTAGGTCTGCAAGGCCTCAGAAGGGACCAGCAGATGAGATCTCTAAGGCTGGCTTGAGTGTGGTAGAGGTTTGGGAGACTAGAGAGGAGAAAATGCAGCTTTGGTTTTTCCAAAGAGAGAAGTTTGTGCGTCTGAAACTCTAGACAGAGGTGAGTGACGATTAGGTTCTATAGAGAGTTATTGAAACTGCAAGTTGTTCTGGTTTGGGGCCGTGGTTCTTTTGAGATCTGGATGGACATTACTCTTCTCAGCAAAAATGGACAAGATGCAGCACAGGGTACTTTCTGTAAACTTTCAGGAAGTTCATACAAGTCCACTCTTGGATTCCTTTGAGTTGACATGAACCTCAGGTTAAGAATCTCTAGTCAAAGGTTAAAAAAAAAAAAAAATCTCTAGTCAAAGGATTAATTCATTCGAAGGATATTTGGGAGGGTAGGTGGTGATTAGTAGGAGCCAGCATACATCCAATTAAGCATATTTTCTCTTTTGAGAGGATCCCAGTGTAATGTGTGGTATTGAACCTGGAGTCACAGGACCTGGGCTCACATTCCTGCC